TCTGATGAAGGGCTAACGCTCGAAACGTCAGCTTTAAAACTCTTTACGGTGGCCGATTTACGTTATCAACTCAGTTGATAATATTTATAAACCCTTCAGATGGTCTTATTATATCCCACAACAAAGGAAGCTCGAACGTTCGAAATATCTACAAATTCAAGTCGCTCTAACTCAGTCTGTTCTGTTTCTTATGACTGATGTATGTTCCTATAACTTGAGGATTTAGATGCACTAATGATCACAGAAGCTTTTCTGGAGGTTTTCGATTGAGGGTTAAAAAACTAAAACCAAAGTAGTTACAGAACCAAAATTTGCATCCTAATGCGTGAAAAACGCGAATGATCAAGTAGCCATAGGTTTTGGATTTGCATCTGATTGTGAGAGAGAGGATAGCGCAAATTTGCAAGACCAATCGCGGAATGGGCAAAAACCAGTCTTCTTTCGTTACTCGGGTGAAAGATGTTCCCCGAAGACCTCTTGCTCACATGTTCTCGAATAATTATAAATACCTGGGCAGTGGAGTAAGCCAGCGTAATGGCGAAAAAGAAGTTGGCATTTGCACTACCGGCGTAAATCCACAAGTGCCAGAAGACTGGAGCCAAGAACGAACTACAAATTAACATGCACATCACCAGGAGTGCGTTACGAAGATCTACAAGAAGAATAATAGAATTGCAAAATACTCATCAAGAAGCCTGAATTACGGTATGATATTCAGGGGGGCAGAGGGTGTTTTTGTTTCAATCACTTAACCCCTTAACTCCCAGGATCTGATTCTTAATTTTCCTCTCTGGTTGCTGCACAATTCTTGGTAAAATAGTTACAAGAATTTGGTGTTAGATCAAGTTAAAAACTTCTACCTGATAAGTCTGAGTATTCTCATTACCTGTTTACTGGATAATGTACGGATAGTGTAGGGAGACGTTACAGGTTTAATCACTTGTGGGAGTTAAAGGGTTAAACCATATAGCAAAGAAATATCTTGGGTTTTACCAACCGGTCACATCAATGTTGATTTGATAAAGGAAAAGGTACAACTAGCAGAACAATACGCTTACATGGAAATATGTGAACCCACAGTGCCAAGAGGGCCAATGGTAAAGCAGCATCACCCAGCGCTGGATAAGACTTCATAATAGCCATCACGGAACAAAGCATACAGGCAAGAAATGTTGGGTTGCCCCTGAAGAAAAAACATATAGATTAATTTTTAAGAATTATCTCAGGAATATGTACACACAGGAGTGACAAAGCTTTGGGAATGAGGTAGATAAGAAATGGGGATCTTGCAAAAACAGAGACGACATAAGCAAGGTCAAATCAATATGCTGCATAAAATTGGTCACGAATCCGTAACACAATTTATCAAGCATCGTGTAACAACAAATTGGTAGCAGCTGTTGTTGTTCTCAAAACAAGAGCCAAACTGGTTTCTAATGAAAGTCTACACTAATCTTTTTCACAATTCTTTTTAAACTGTTACCTTAATTTGATGGTCAAAGGGATGCAGTAGAAAAAGGCATTCAGTTGAAAAACCCACAAAAAGAAAATCCTAAAATGTTCAAACATCTCAGTGAAGAAGTACCAGAAGAGACCCATGTTAGGTGTGAGATCAGACACCTGTAAACTGACGGTGAAATAAAACAAATTAAAATTTTGTTGGATAAATGTTTAATGGGAAAAACAGCAGACTAGTGCTCAGTATGCTGGACTCTGAGGTGAGAGATCTGTGTTGGAGACCATGCTGGGTCAATATGTTGTATCCTTGGATAAAACACTTAATTATCATTGTGCCTCTCTCTCTCTCTCTCCAGCTAGGAGTATAGGAAAGTACTGGTCAATTGTCAGAGAAGCCTGCTAAAATGCTGGGGGGTAACCTTGGGATGAACTTGCATCTCATCCAGGGGAGGAGTAGTAACACTCCTAGTTCCTGCATGCTAAGGAAAACAGGACATGCTCCGGCTGGGTGGGCCTTTTAGCTCAAGTACCATGGAACTCTACCTTACCTCTACCTGAAGGTTTTATAGAAATCTTATCCTTTTATGTGCTTGTTCAAAAGCTGCTTAAGGCTCATCTAAGGTATGAGTTTTTGAAAAATGTCAATATTGCTTTTTGACCCTCATAGACTACAAAAGCCAATCTTAAGGTCTTTAAACTTAATCGTAAGGTAGTCAATTTAACAAACCTTGTTACTACAGAATTTAATGCATAAACAGTGATGAAAGATATAAAAACTTAGTCAATAAACTCACATAAAGCCATGGGTAGCCAGAAGGAAATCCCAAGATTTAAACACTTGATATGACATGCCAAGCAGAAGCAATGTCCACACAAGAAAAGAACCAATAACTTGACTAACAAATACAATGGTCTTCTTTGTGAATTGAATATCGAAAGAATGGACCTGGAAACAAAAATGCAGACCTAGGGTTAATTATAAATTTTGTGGTTAAAATTGCTCGCTTTTTGAGGTAAGATTGAAGAATTTTTGATAGGAGGTCCAAACATTGATTCTGGAAACAGGTCTGATGAGGGGGAGGGGGACTGGGTCCCCTAGTCTTCCTCTTGAATCCAATGCTTTTGTTTACAAATGACAAGGTCTTTGATTTTTACATTTTTACCTTCATTAATGTGAGGACTACAGGTGCCAACAGTGTGACTGGATACAAGGAATGACATGTTCCGGCTGCAACACCAAGTGTACTTAGTAAAATATTCCCTGAGTAAAAAATAAGTACAACTTTAGCATACAACAAAAAACAAACAAACAAACAAACAGACAAACAAACAAACTAACTCAAAACCAAAGCTTATCAATCTTTAACTCCTGAGATGTGATTGTTTTGTAATTCTCCCCTTGGGCTGCTTTGTATGTCCTTGTTAATCTATATGAGAATTTGTCATTTCATCAGGTGTTACTAAGCTATTTGCTGCATGATAGATCAAAATTTGAAGCAGAGGTTAAAAGATGAACACCAGGTTTCCTTTCAATTTCAAATGAAATGAAATGAAAAAGGGAAGAAAATCCCCCAACAACCATTTCCCAGGTTCCTGTCTTGTTTGAGAAGTTATGCACCCAACAGAGCCTAAGTTTCTTGTTCAAAAAAAGCTAGAAAGATCTAGTGGTAAATCAAACAATATACCCAAGAAGGTATTTTTCTTCCTCTTACAACCTTTAGGTGTAAAGATGTATTGATTTGACCAAAAAATTATTTATCAAGTTATAATTCCTAAATATTTGCCCTAATGAAGGGCTAGCACTTGAAGTGTCAGCTTTGAAACTCTTAATGATGGCCAATTTACATTATCAACTCAGTTGATAAAACCAAACTATCTTGTTAAATTCTTTATTACTTTCACTTGGGAGTGAACAGTCTCAGTCTAAACCAGAATGAACATACCTCTGAGGGAGAACAAAAGTGCTGTGCCAACTGCCAAGTTAGTGAACACTACAGTTGAATGTGCCACACAGGAACCTATACTATATGGATTCAACAAATATCTGCAAGAAAGAAAGAATAGCAAAGCTAACATGAGAAAGTCTCTGAATAAAGCACATGAGAATCGGATCAAACAGAAACGGCTACTAGTTTGCTAGATCTATCAAACAAAAAAGAGACAAAACTCACATGGATGAAACTAGTAAAGGCACATTGTGTAGAGCTTCCTCTTTGAGTAGAATTGGTTCCACAGAATTTGCATAAGATTTAAGATTCAATGCTTGCTCTTTAAGCTACATACAGAAAACAATACAAAAACCAAAATTAAACATGGAGACCAAAAACACAACTTGATTAAAGTTCTAAATTAGTATTCACAAGGATTTCACCTGGTACTGCAGATATCACCTCAATAATTCAACTTAAATCAACTGTAAAACCTACAATCCTTCAATATTAACTCATCAGTAACATCTGTCTGTTTTAAATATCAAAGGAGAAAAAATGGTATGGTAGGAAGAGTACTTGATACCATAGCTGTGACCTGGGTTTGACTTATGTCCTGCCATTACATATGGGCTATTTCTCAGTTCACGAGCAGGCGGTATTCTACAAATCCTGCAATCTGATTGGTTCCAAGAGCGGGCAGTATTCTCCCCATCTGGCCCGCTCACAGTGGGCAGTTCTTTTTGCAACCATTTGTTAGGTTTTAGAAAAAATAAAAATGTTATTCACCAGCCAAGGTCAGTCCATATTGGGAAAAACTGTGCCTTCTGTCTTGCGGTATCCAAGACCTTGGGCACAGTTTTTCCTAATATGGACCTCCTGTCTAGTGAATAGCATATATTTCTTTAAGGGTATGGTAACATAACTGAAATAAAAGAAACAAATGGTCAAATTTTTTAAAATCATTTTGAACTATGCTTTATTTCAAACTACAACATGTATTCAACTACAAATAGGCTATATTTTTGTCACAATACCAGTATTTGACAGTGAAGACTAGCAAGTTTGTAAAGGAGCCATCCAACCAGCAGATCGCCCACCTGAAATACACCATATGTAAATGGAAATTCTCAAATAAAGAATGAATTTCAACTTCCATAAATACCATTAACCTTTAACTCTCATGAATGACCAAGACAGAATTTCTCCTTACAAATCAGTATCAAGCTAACAGGTAATGAGAAGATATAAATATATAAATGATGGGATTATTAGTAGATCCAATATCAAATTATCCATACTAACATCATACCATTGTATAGCAGACAGTTGGGAGAATTACTAATGAGATCTTACACATAAATGAGCTTGTGGGAGGTGTTCAGACCCAATGATTACCAAGATTAACCCTTTACCTTCCAATACACTATCATACAAACAGTTGATGGAGAAAGAGAGTCTTATGAGCCTCTGGGTGTTATCTACAGATGCACAAGGAGTTTATTAAAGGAGAAATACCATCTGGATTTTGGGAAGTTAAGGATTTGAGTTTCATAAACACTTCAAATACATACCACAAACAGAAGAGGAAATAGGACCTCTGATATCTGCTGCAATCCAAGAAATATTGCCAACACTAGAGGTGTCTTCATGAAAAAACAATCATCTTCTGTAATTAGTCAGTTAACTAAGTTTACTGTTTGGGGCCATTATTGGTGGATCTGAATTTCATTCTTTTGAAGGAAAGAAAAGCTACACACAGCCTGGAGAGTATGGGAAGTGCAAGTAAGTTTTTTTCTGCTGATTGTTCCATACACTTTGGTTTAAGTCCGCTCTGTAAGCACTACACCTCACTAAGAGCTACCTTTCTCTGCAGACAGAAGGCACACAATATGACTACCCATTGAACTTTCATGCAACCTAATAATGAAGCCAGCTGTTCTAAAACAATCATACGTCTCTGCTAAAATCTTGTGGCAACTTGATTCGCTTCCATACTATAGTTTCATATGGGGTTATATGGAAATCTTTCCAGATCTTACATTGAGCATATTTAGCAAAGAGATCTAGAGCACCTGCACACTAGGCCTAACCCTAACCCTAACCCTACACACCTCAAATTTGGTTACAATAATGATAATTCAATATTTGAAAATTTTACCTCATGCACAACATCCCCGGAATAAGGTGAAACCCCATGGTTTATCAGAGAAAGGCCTTCTTGAACTGAAAAAATAAAGCATTTATTGAGATGTTAAAAAAGATAAATAAACAATAAAGTTTTTAATTAAAATAAACTTTCGTATTAATTATCGATCGTCACATCACAGTTCGATATTAAACGCTGAAATGAAACATAGGTTTCTTTTAGGAACCGAACATACCTCTGTTCCAGGCAGTTAGTGGTGTAGATAACTCTATTCGGTTAGTAAACCAATCTTTAACGGGGCTATAGATTAGGAAAAGCCGGGAAGCAAAAGCTACACTGAATAGAGAAGAAACCCATATGGCATCCGCCATCTTGAACTTGCACTAGTACTTAGGCTGAAACGATCAGGTCATTTGGCGCGGTCTCTCAGTCTCGAGTCACATGGGCTGTCACATTATCTCATTGTAACTTTTTAAAGGGGCGGGAAAGCAGTTAGTAATGCAGCGGAGATGAGCATTTCGTTCGGCCTTCAGCAGGTTGAAGAGAGTTTGTTTCATTCAATCGAAAATTTAGCTTTACGAATATGTAGTATACTTGTCAGTGTATAACTTAAGCGTTTTTTGCAGGTATTTTGGAGGCCATTTAAAGTTGACTTGGGTGCACGTGTCTGGTGGTCAACAAGCCGCAGAGCCAGCTTGAGCTTGAGCTTCCACTGGGTAAGTCGTAACTTTTAGATTGTATTGTTTTTCAATGCGCTCGCTTCGTTTTTGAACACCTACATCTAGAAAAGCGGCTTATTTAATGACAAGGACGCCCAAATATAAGGCCAGAAATCGAGGACAACATGCCGTTCAAGCTTGCACTCAACGTTCCTTACTTGGATTTTAAAAGGGGAAATTCCTCGCATGCGAACGTCTGAAGCTTCACGAGGAGATAAAAATGTAAAATCGAGTCCATTTGTAGCATCACTAAAGCATACATGGGCAGAAATGTAGGACATCATGGCGGCCAAGCACGCGCAGAGTTTTCCTAATGCCGTTTAAAAAATGTTAGAAGCTTCTCGGGATTTGTATGGAAAAGATCTAATGTTAAAAAAATTTCAACGAAATGAAAATAATTTTCGTACCTGCGAGCATCGGTGTGTTATCGTGTCAGTGATTTGTTACTTTGGACGAAATTTCGAGGTTTTGCACGTTTCGTCTGTGCTCCCCAACAAATTACGCAAACCCATATAAGAGTCATATTACACTTCCATACAAACACAGTAAATTGGCTGAAATAGCCAAACTTTGACCCGGCAAATCAGAGAAAGAAGATGCTGTTGGTAGGTTGCGAGCATCGTGCTACAAACAGGGGTCTCTTATCTTTCATTTTGTGCCACTTTTTTTGGATGAATGTGGCATTCTCTTTGCTCCCCGAAAAGATGAAGATTTGTAGAATTGGTCGCGAACAGAACTTTTGCCTTGATATAAATAAAGAAAACTGATTGGTTCAAGGGTGATGTTAATAAATAATGGTGGTTTGCTGTAACGCTATCCATTCCGTGACTTGGTTGCGTAACTTCCAATTTGAGCATAAACGTGTGGCAAGTTTCTCATTTCTTTCTGGTCTTAATATGCTGTTTTGCAATAAAATAATATAACATCTTACCTCTCCAGTTTCGTAATCACTTGAAGCATTCAGGCCGGATCAGCTGTCAGCAATTTTTGGTCATGCTATGTCAGTAAATCCCACTATCTGGACCATTGACCATGTTGTGGCTGCTCATGCTAGGTAGGTACATGATAAATATGGTCAAGGTCTTTTAACTGTAACAATGGAGGGTAGAGAAGCCAAACATATAGCTTACAGAAGTTAAGTGCAAACACTACATACTAATATTTGATGGGCTGAAATTTTCAGGTATGAATTTATTATGTTGGTTTGGTTACCTGAACAGTATCACAAACCTTGTTCTTACACTCCTAGTAAAATGTTTACATTCCTCAAAGGGTTTTTAATGACAGTAACTACTGCTACTGTGGACTACATAAATCTGATCCTACTGATAAGAGCTGCTGTTTATGTAGTGATCATCTCATGGCACTAATTCATGAAAGTGTGAAAGAAGGAAAAATTGTTGCAGGATTATCCTAGTTTCAGAAAGTGTTAATACAAGCAAAAATGAAGTGAGGCAAATTGTCAAATGAAGTCACCACATGAGTGCTTTTAGAGCATGCAATCACTGTAATTAGCTGTTGTTTCCTTTTTTAGTTCACAGAAAAATCAGCATTCTATTCATTAAATCAGTTGAATAACAAATGACTGCAAAAAAATGAATTTATGTAATTTTGCCTTGATTTATCAGAAGGCACAAATGACTTTTATAGAGCACCAATCATACCTTACAAAAGGTAAATCTCTAAAAGACATGCCTGTAATAGGAAAACTATAATTTGAAGGCTTTGATATTGTGACACAACCACAAAAACCACATTGGAAGTCTGTGCAGGCTTGTTTTTGACTTCCTTTTAACTTAACAGCAATACACTTGTAATTGCTTTAAGGAAAATGATAACAGTGTTACTCTGAAAACAGTGAACACCTACATGTAATTATAAAAGACATTGAAAGGTTTTGTGTAGTGATCAATTCAATCCCTAGTTGAGGCACAGGAGAAAGGCTGCACAAAACTAATTTTTTAAGGTTTACAGTCTCTTCATCTTCCATGTGACTGGTGTTCTTTCCAACAAATAGCTATTAAAAGTTTCTATAATTTCACTGTCAAATAGCATAACAATGCAGTAACATAGCCATTGCCTTACATAGTGGATGTCCAGGAAATAACAGATTCCTAGTGCCTTCAGTTACTGCATGTTATTAGAATATTACTAAAATATGATTGACATTAGAAAGCAGTGGTGAATTTATGTCACTACATTCTATCACTAAATGTTAACAGTACATGACTCCTTCAGCCCTAAAGTAATAGACTTATAACTTCTTAAAGAAGAAAAAAAGAAAACTTGTATCAGCTTGCTCCAGGTGCTCTATAGTATATTTAGTTTTTAATTGGGAAAACAGGGATTACAGGAGTGCTACAACAGGTCCAATTGACTGAACATCAAGTACATAAGCTATAATCTAATTGTATCAAAACACTTAAAACTAGTTTGTGTATTTCACAATAACATCAAAAAGAGAAGGTAACTTGATGTCTTATATTTATTACTACCCATGAAAACTGTAACCAAACTCATTTCAACAGCCATAATAATTATTGCAAGCAAGAGTTACCTGCTTTTGCTTGTGATTATAGGCTAGTACAAGATGCTTCTCCCTGCTCACAAGCACCTCTGCCTTAAAGCCTTTACGGTTCCCCCCAAATGTTTTGTTGAGCTTCCCTGCAACTTCACTCCTAGGGAGGCCAGAAAACTTTGAAAAATCATGGAGACAATTTCTATGAGTGTATTTTATCATATTTTCCTCCACTAATACTCCAAATGTTGAAGGTGCCCCTTGCACAGACTTCATATAATTTCAAACATCTCTTGAGGGAGGTCACCCTTTACCTCTATGGTCCAGGGATTTGAAGCCCTTAGGTTTGTGGACATTTGCCTTCTTATCCTATTTAGCCACATCAGAACTTCTGATGTGATCATGGTCCAAGCTGGGATGGAAGACTTTAGAGCCTTATCCATACCATGGACTCCATCTTCGTGCCGTGGGTAGACATTCTTTGGCAACTGATGGGCTGCCTCCTTAAAATCCGAAAAATTCGAAATGGAAGGTCGTAAAATGTTAAATTCACTTATCGACCTCTCCAACACATCTGCGAAACTAACCTCTAAGCCTTCATCTTCCTCGATTTCCACACTTTCCACAGAAACTTGTTCAATAATTTGTTCGTGAGAGAAGCGTTCTCTTCTAGCCACCATTTTGTTTTGGGAAAGTCCGCTGATTTGACCACAGTAGCCAAATGCAGACTTTTTCGAGACAGCTCACCTGGCGTGTTTACAATGTCTGACACACCACCTCCCAACTACATCACAGTCAATGGCAGAAAATGTAGCATTTACCTTTGACTTACCTTACCCTATGCTTAAAGTTTTGAATGACTTCCTTAATAAACCAGAAAATGAAGGGGTAGAGGAGGAAGAACATGTGGATGATGAACTGACACAAGGTCCGGTCATGTTGGAAGCATTTCAGAAACGTAGGAGGAAAAAATGTAAAACTTGCACTGACTTGTTTGAACTTATTATCTGTGGCAACTTGTTTTCTATCAAAAAATCCAAAGAAGTGAGAAAAGAGTTGAATGAATCCCTGTGAAAATAAGCTACTTCTGTGAAGTCTCAATACAAGCAGATCAGGGGGCGAAAGGGCCTTGCCCTGAACTCAAAAATAAAAATGTTCCATGTGTTTGAGAGGCATGTTCAATCAGTGGCAGAACTGGAGAGGGAAAATAAACAACTAAAGGAGTTGAACTCTTCCCTGCAAGAAGATGTAAAAGAGTGGAAATCAATCTCTTTTTTCCCATTGTAGTACATCCTCCCATAAATTGTTTAGTAATACATACATACATAATTTATATATTCTAGAAGCAAACTATATATACAGATTAAAAACTAAGGGAAAAAAGGTACTTTTAGAAAAGGAAGTTTGGAGGTTAACCCTATGTAAAAACTACCTTAAAATAAAATAAATAAGTAAATAAAAATAAAATAAAAATCAAGATCTATACAATTAAATATTGAGATACAATTTAAGTTTAGATTTAAGTAAAAGGTGCATTTCATCTAAAATTACATGGTCAAACTCAATATTTATTAGAGGCACCTGTTCACAGCAAAAATTGTCTTAGTTCCTTTTTTGAGAATCCCTTTAATTCTTCTAGGGTTCTATGTAATGGTGGCTTATTGTAATAATCTTCCTTGTGGTTCATATCCCATCTTTTATCTTTGAACTTTGCACCAGGCACAAGCATAGAATGAGGTGATACCTTAAAGTCTTAACATGATTAAAATGAATTTGTATTCTCCCCCCCAAAAGAATTCAAATGTTATTTCTTTCCCATTAATTTTTGTCCATTTTGTTCATTGAATTTAGAGCAACAGAGGAAAAGAATGATAAAGCTTGTATTGCAAGTCATCCTTGCCCCATCCCCTGATATTTTAACCTTTACACTTTCATTTTCAATATCAAATTCTGGATTTTGGTTAATAAATCTTGCACTCTTTCCTTGAGAAATTCCTGGAATGAAACTTCCACACCCTTGGCTCTTCCAGGTGTGGATATAATATGACACATCATTTAGCTGTGTTTGCCGTTGCTTGATCAGATATGATTTTGGAAGATCATTAAACATAGAGAGCTCATGATAAGATGAGTCT